TTTGTAATTAATAACCATACTCGCTCTATTTCTAAAGCATTTCTCGCATAAAAGACTACACAACTCCAAGGTGATTTGCTTGACCTTATTAATTTATTATCTAAAAATCCTTGTATTTGTTTTTTTTTTTACAATATTCAAGAGTTTCGTTATTCATTTGCACTTGTATGACCTAGGTGGGAATTTGACTTTAATGAAAGTCTTCCACATAAGGTAGACTAATTGTAAAGGAATTTCTATTCTAAAAGTATTTGGAATTTCAACACAAACTTCTTTTAGAAAAACTCGTTCAATTTCTTGGAATATTTTTAATAACTAAAGGGTCTTGTAATTCTTTTTCTATTTTTTCATAACCACATCCATGAAGTTCCATAATACCTTCCTGCACATTCCAAGAGCCAAAGGTATCCTACTCGAGCATAGTACTTACCACAAATGCTCGTCCCCTACACCATTATGTTCGGTAACGAAGGGTGAGCGGAGTTATGTGGTATTCATGAATTTGATTACACAATCCCTCCAATATGGGAGTGTAAATTTGGTGTAGTTGCCACTGGTTTCCTTGCACAACGTCACACACATGAAGTTCAACATTCTGATAATGAACATATGACACCTCCAAGTACAAAAGTGAGTCAGCCAACCAATGGTCATACCAAAAGAGAACTTCATATCTTCCAACTTGTAGACGGAAACCTTCTTTTAATGATTCATATATCTTGCAAAGAGAAGTCCAAAAGAATGACCCTTCACCTGCAACTTGTCCCATAAGGACTGTAACACCATGGAAATACAACTATATATTTATATGTGTGTGTGTGTATGTATGTGTGTATGCATGTATGTATATGTTGTTTATATGGATTTGGATTGGATTATGAAGATGTGGATTTGAAATGTACTTACCTCTGTGCATTTTGTATGTTGATGTGGTTTTGATTAGTTGTTTAAGCATGGTAGTGATTTTATAGTATGAGATGAGAGGTTGATGTTTTGAGAAGTTTGTATAGGCATGTGTGTGCATGAATTTGGTGAATGATGCATTGTACACCATTATACTGAACTGGTACTAAGAGGGAAGAAGACTGATCACCTTCCTTCTCATCTTGGTCAAGTGAAGTATTATGGCATGCGCAACTCATTATTCCAAGAATATGTATCTGAAAGTGATGTTTGTTTGTGTGTTGATACATGTTGCATTTCTTATGGTGGTGAGTTGTGAGTATTGCATGGAAAGGAATAGGATGGGTAGGAGATTGAAGGATAGGAACATAAGATAAATCTGGTCTTTCTGAGTGAATTTGAGGTTATTTTAGAGCTTAAGGAGTTGAAATACTTCAAGGAATAGGATATTTGAGGTGAATAGGTGCTAAGGGTGAAATTTGGAAATTTTGGAAAATAGCTATATATAGGGACTTAGGACTGGAGGGTCTCATTTGTCAGACAGAGACAGTTTTTAGAGAGAGAAAGTAGAGAGAGGGGCTCTGGTCCGGAGGGAAGCTGAGGACATATTTGGGAAGCTTATCAAGCCAGGATCAATCTTTACAACTGGAGTTTCAAGAGATTTGGTCTCTAAAGCCTTGAAAAGGGGGATTAAAGTTTGAGTTGGGATTTGAGGGTTTTGTCCAAATCTTGCATTTCTGAGGTTTCTAAGGTAAGGGTAGTACTTATAAGACTTAACCTAGTATGTATGGGTTTGAAATATCACATTGATTTCATGTTTTATGCATGATTAAGGTTGGATTGAGTGGAAAGGGTTTTGGTAGGGTTTCCCTATGATTTCCATGGATTAATGGTTAATACTTGATTTTATCACTTAATATGTTGTTTTTGGATAGTGTTTATGCTTTGTAATGGTTCAAACTCGTGTAATTTGGATTAGATTCATGATTGGAAGGAATTTTTGAGGTTTTCGAGGATTTCTGGTAGCGAGTGCGCCGGGCGCAGTTCTTCGCGCCGGGCTTGAATTCACCAGAGACCATCATTGCCAAATCACGCCGGGCGTAAGGCTAGTCGCGCCGGGCTCAATTTAAAATCGAGGTCTCTGTTTGAGTTTTGCGCCGGGCGGGATATTAGTGCTGCGTGCGTGAGTATTTTGGTCTTGAGGTCTTCATGAAAGTTGTAGCCTTGGATGTTAGCTTTCCAATGGCGTTGGAATCACCCAAAAAGGAGGTCTAGAACTCCATATATGACTGTTTTAGTGAACAGGGGTCAAGCTGCTAGCATTGGTTATAGCTGTTGCGGTTTTTAGAATTTTTAACAAAGTAGATAATGGAATTAGGACTTGATGTCTTCATAAGAGTTGTAGGAAATCTTCTTATATTTCATATGAGATAAGTATGAGCATGATAGGAGTAGTATAACTCTTAATATGCTATTTTATGTGAAGATTGTCATTTAACAAAGGGTAATTTGGTTAAGTTGATAGTTGTTTTGGGTGTTTAATTATTTATGTTGTTATATTGAGTAATTTGGCATGGTTATGGAAATATTTTGTATGTAATTATGGAATATGCTATGTTTGTTTGGTTTGGACAAGCTAATAGAACTTAGAGGAGTAAGGTTATGGTATGAATTAGGAGATCTCTTGGTGAGATCAGGATATAATCTTTGAAAAAAATATGGAATTAGGAGTCCCATGGTGAGGATTCCAATATGGAACTTTTCCAAAGGTTATATAATAAACCACTTCAGATGTTAGGTGGATTCTGAAGTACTCCTCTAAGTATTCTATTTGCTACCGGTATGGGTCCAGGCCGAGTCATACCGATGGATGAGGTGGCCACGATCACCAGGGTTACGTGACGACGTAATCCAACTGTATATTTTCCATGAGAGGTTAGGCATGAGACATGGGTTGATGACATGTTTCACCGTATCAACACTTGGTTTGGATGTGTTGAGGCCAACATTTGGTTTGGATGTGTTGGTTACATCATGGATTATACAGTGGTGTGACTTTGTTTTGGATGTGGAATATGTATACATATGGTATGGATTGTATACATTGGTTATGGATTCTTGATTATCATAAAATATGTATGCATTGGCATGGATGTGTATACATTAGATTCTGGATTGGTTTATATTTGGCATGGAAATAACTGTTTATAATGTTCATTTCTTTGGTATGGATATATACTATTGATGAATATCTAGTTTAATGATATTTCATTATATTTTACTATGGTTGGTTTTATACGTGCTAACCCTTATATTTGCATGATATGGATTGTGATGATCTCACTATGTGGGGGAGCAGATCAGGTGTGAGGCCTTGGGATAACAAAGAATCTTTTTGGTTAGCTGCTTTGAGAGAGTGGCTAGGCTTAGAGCTTGACCAGCACCTAGGGTGTCTCTTTTGATGGTTAATGTTATTATATATTTTGGATGACTGTATAACTTTATGAGTGATGACTCTTTTATAAAATTGTTTTATATGCAAAAAAAAATTTGTACGTTGTTACATAATTACACTCTAGTGTAGCTGGTCTCTGCTCTATTCTCTTTAAAATATATTATTTCATTTTAATTGTTATATTGGTTGTTGATGTGACGGCTTAAAGCGGGTCGTTACAAGGACCTCCCTGGATACTTAGTCTGAACCAACTTGACCCACAACTCCTCATTATTATATTATGAAAATCCCAAATTAGCTTTCCAAGTAATGTTTTATTCTGAAATCGGACGATATGCACTTCCAGGCCTCCAAACTTACAAGGCCTCATCAACTGATCTAAAGTATGACATGTCTGTTGCGGTATCCATTGCATTTATATGATATAAGTAGGGATTGCTGCTAACACCGAATTTACAAGAGTTACTTTTCGAGCTCTATTTAAAACCCTATTGTTCGTACATTTAACTTGACTGTCGAATTTTTTTTACAATTTACATTAAATAGAATATATAAAATTAAACTTTGCCGTAATTAAAGTTCAATATATATTTTACTATTTTAAAGATAATGCAATATATATTTATACCTTCACTTGAATTAGTAGTACCTTACACGTATTTTGAATCTTATTAAGTTATTATATATAATAAGACAAAATCGTGCTTTAACTTTTTTTTGAGAAAAAAATATTAAAATGTTCCTAATTAAGCAGTTTTTTTTTATTTATAAAAAAACTAATCTAAATATATATAATAAAATTAAAAAGATAAACGACTCAATTGTTTATTAAAGTTTATAGTAAGGATTATAAGTTATAATTCTTATAAAACTGTTAATTAATAAATTAGATTAAAATTGTATAATTTTTAAAATTATATAATTAAAAAATATTATATTAAAAATTAGAGTGACAAAATTTAATAGGTGAACGAATATATCTGATCCCATAATTATCTAAACTAATATGACTCCATGTATCAGTATCGTAATAATCTCAATAATATTAATAATATGTGGCTTATAAAAAGAAATGTTATAACGTGAACGAATGTATACCGATCCCATAATTATCTCATTAATATAAACTACCCAAAAACAAATTAAGATAGATAAGCATTTGTTTGTTTACTCCTAAATTAGAGGAACCTGAAGCACCAGACTGATCTGGCTTCAAGGGCTACTGCAAAGTCATCCGGAAAGCTTATAAGATAACAATTAACAATGGTAGATAGAATGAAAGAGAATATGGAAACCTTTTGGAAAAATAAAATAAAATAAAATGAACAGGGACATTTACGTGTTGAGACGAGGAGTCTCCACGAGAAACGAAAGAAAAAGAACAAAAAACATGGCCCCTACGCGTCGAGTAGAGGAGCCTCCACGATTTTCTTCTTCTCCACGTGTAAAGTATTGAAGAATGCTATATATTAGGCATAATGAACCTCGTGGAATGTTCATCTTTCAAGCCATAGGATAATGGCTTTAGGAAATCAAGAAAATAAGAGTAAAAACGAAGGGAAAATCCAGGTAATATTTTTATTGAGTGTAGATCCAGGACTTTCATATGATGGAAATCTCGCCTTTAAATTATTGAAGACAGGCTCAGGTAAGTTGGCATGAACCATGGATCATCTTCATTGATCACTAGCTATATGCCTTCGGTAGGAAGTAATCATTTTTCATACTCAATGTGGTTTGAACTTTAATTAATCTACATAGGTATAATGTAATTGGATCTCCTTTCAATGTTACAATTTGTTATAAGTACTTAAAATTAAGTGGAAACTCAAGTTTTTTTATTTATTTATTATTTTAATAATATTAGTTAATGTTAATTTGTATGCATGTCAGGGATGTGACTAGAATGAGAATATATAGTGAATTAATGCTCTTAGAATATATGCAATAATATTGTCATAAGTTAATTGTTCAATCGTTGAAAGCACAAGACTTTTAAAACTTATGTGTGTGATCTTAGTCTTCAATTGACAAGAGCTGAACTTTATTGCATTTCTTTATTTCAATTACATATTATAATATCCAAAGCCACACACACTAATAGTAGAGAAATAAAGGGAAAGAAAAAAAAAATACTTCTAGGTGCCCCATTTCTTAGACCACTTCCTAAAACTAACAGGCACAAACATCATGTTATTGATCATCATAGGTTAAACCATTTCCTTAAACCCTATATATAAACCTAATTAAGGTTTCTTCATCTTCAAAGTGTCAAGAAACCTATCCTTTGTAATATCATTGGTGGAGATGAAGTCCAGAAACTCCCTGAAGCAGAACTCTTTGTAGGACTTAGGGTTTTGTTCATCAACAAGTTCAAGTGCAGGACCCATCTTTCTATCCATCGCAAAGCTGTGAAGACTCACAATGGAAAACCTCTTCTCATCTCCATTAACCGTTGCACGGTGAATCACACTCTTGTATTGTCCATTGCTCATGACTTCCATTTGGTCACCCAACTGCACCACAAGTGCACCTTCAACAAAAGGGACAGGTACCCAGTTGTTGTTTTTATCCTTGATTTCTAGGCCTGAACGGGTTTGGAGCAACACTGTTATGGACCCGTAATCTGAGTGAGGGTGGATGCCTAAGGTGAGTGCAGGTTGTGGACATGCAGGGTAGCAGTTCACAGCAAGGGTTTGAGAGCCTCCACTGATTTCTTCATGTAAGTAAGTAGGGTTTAACCCCAGGCTTTCGAAAATTATTTCCAATAGTTGATTTTGTAGAACTTGCACAGCTTTTACATACTTTTCCATCTTCTCCCTGTCAACTCATGCATGTGTTGTGTATGTTTTAATTGTAGGAAAATGATAGAGACTATGGCTAATATTCCTAGGAGATAAAAATAAGAAGAATTTTTTTTAAAATTAAAATTAGTTTATACATACTTCTAATTTGTAGAACTTGTTTCTTTCATATTACTGTATAAGACTTTGGAAAATGATTTAGTACTATTGTTCCTGTATACAACTTTGGCGGCAGCAAAAATGCTTGAATTAAGATAAATCTATTTGGAAAATGATTTAATACTATTGTTCCTGGATAAAATTTTGGCACTTTGGCATTTTGAATATGAAAGAAAACTATAGCAGTTTGAATATGAAAGCATTATTTTTCAACAAATCACACCATTTAACTTTTACATTATCTCTTCACTTCTCCCTTTTATGGTAGAAAAGGAGGAGAGGTATGCTCTATAGAAATATCATTTTATCATAAAAGAAGGTTGAATTTCTCATGTTTTTAACCTTAGAGAGGGTTGTGAGAGAAATATATATATATACTTTTCCATTTTTTATGATAGTACCTGTAATTGGAGGGATTTGAAGGCCACATGTGAATCCAATCCGATATTGGATGAGAGTAGTGTTTGATGAAATCTCTCCAGCAGTAAACTTCATCCCTAGCTTGGTTAAGGCTTGTTCCATACCTCACAGGTTTGTGAACATCTTCAGAAAATAAACGCATCTTTTCCTCATTAGGGAGGTTGAAGAACTCTGATGCGACTTCTAGGGCTTCATCCATTACTATTTGATCAATCCCATGGTTGATTACCTACAAAAATTTAAGTATTATGTAAATTTAACGAGTATAATAAAATTCACCATAATTTTGATGCTGCACATGTGTAAATAGCAAGATCCAAATACAATTCCATTCGGAGAAAAAATGAAGAGTACTTATTGGAAAATAAAATATAATTGTCTCCCCTAAATTCTGCTCACTTCTAAGCAGGGTTTTGTCGTTACTTTTCAAAAACTATTTATCCACAAAATCCAGTCAACTCTTATGATTTAAATATATTTCTAAATGTATTTGTGCATATGCACGTACATGAGTATGATTGGTGTTCATGGACAAAGACACATGATTTGTAAATGCGCATGACATAGATACTCATATATCAAAACTCCTTTTTATAAATCTCACACCGTATCATCGCTTATATTTACACTTCTTTTTCACTTTTTTTTTGTTTTTTTTTTTTTGTTTTATAGGTGTTTATATATCTAGTATATGTCCATGAATTATTTTCTTTTGCGAATCTGGCATGTGTTATACCAGAAACCATATAAAGAAAAATACTCGAATCATATATATTAATTGATTCAGATAATATTTTATTTAAAATATTTCTCTTGTTACTTTTCTAAACTACTTATTCATTATAAATATCAACTAAAATAATTAATTTTGCGTAAAAGGAATGGATATTAATTATTATTATAAATGTGATCGAAGATTAAAATCTAAAAGTTTTATGATTCTTTAAAGTGGTTTTTGATTTCTGATATTGGTTATTTAAGTGTAATTGTAGATTCACTCGTGTTAAAATCACATTCTTGCTAAATACATGTGCATAACTATGTACAAAAACAAAATTATATGCATAACTTAATTAGTTCCTATAAGTAATGATTAAATCAAGATTGCTAATATTATATTTTTAACATCTATACTTTTGTATTTTTAAAATTTATTAAAAATTATAAATGTGCATGCATATATGCACGTACTTTAGAAAAGTTGCATGATATATGCAAATTGAACATGTGTTATACCTGAAAGCAACCAATTTCCTTGCAGGCAATTCGAATTTGATTGATCGTTCTAGATATAAGAGATTGATCTCGCACAGTAGACAAATCTATAATGGGAAGAGTGGCGGAGTTGGGAACATCATCACGAGGGCTTGGGCGTTGTGATGGTGGAAGAACATAACGTTGAGGTATAGAAGACACTCCAAGCTGGTCAAGACTCATAGCACTAGTAAACGAAAAAACACTATCTCCCTTTCCCTCCATTGTGGCCAAATCTTATCATCAATCTTACCTTCAATGTTGTTGATTTGAGATGGTTGAGCTAATCACCCAGATCTATTTATAAGCATCCTAGTGGATATGTTTATGTTACATGCACGATGTAGTCCTCTATCCACAGTTCATTAAGTTGTTCACTTACAATGTACATGCAAGAAAGTACAAAAGAGAGATTTTCGTTCAGAAACGAGTGTGGATTAAATGATGAAGTCAAACGACGAAGAAAAGAAGAGCAAATAAAGTGATGAAAGAATTGTTGAATTGATCCAACATTCTTACGCCGGTGGTGCTAGTGGGGATGGTTGTTTGCGACTTTTTTTAATTGCATAAATTAATGTTTCATATGCTATAAGAAGTACAAGTACATGTTAGTTGCCTGTGGCACAAACGCCATAGTATAGTGTTTTTGACTTTGTACAAAAATCAGCAGTTCAGCAG